CTTAGTACTGGTGACGTTATATGTGATACTACTGTTACTGATCATCACTGTATAGCCTGTGATTAGACCATTACGCTTAGAACAATTCACCTCATTCCAAGTGAGATTATTAATTGACTGTAATAAAGACAAAGAAGTAGGTACACCAGTAGGAGCTATAAATATAATATTACATAATAGTTGAAGATTGTACCAAACCTGATGGCATTGTATCTATTTTAACTGAACTAGGATCAGATCCTCCTAGTACATTACCAGCTCTCACTGTGATGGTATAGTTCATACCACTGTACAGACCTATTAATGTATAACTGTATGTTGTAGTGGACTGATGAGGAGCAACAGAGACTGTCTCATTCACTGATGATAAATAAGGACAAGATGGAGTATAGGAGATGGTGCAGTATGTTACATAATCATCACTACTAGGAATAGTCCAGTTCACTATGATACTAGTGGTTGAGACATTAGATACTGAGAGACTAGTTACTGGACTAGGAACTACAACAGATATCATTTACACTCTCTAAATGATAATAACTCACCTTCAAATCTTAACACTGTCACTGTACTATTAACTGAAGGAAGATCAATATATGAGTACACACTGATGGTATAGGTACTCATTGGTGAGAGATTTGTTAGTACAATTTTATTTTTACTGGTAGATACTACATTCCTGGTTACACCTCCAGTAGTATACTCAATCACATATCCATTAGTCTCTGATGAATTGGTCCAGTTCACTTCGATACTAGTTGTATTTAATATAAACCCTCTCACATTATTTGGACTAGGACCATTAGGAGCTGGAAATAAACAGTATGATTTTAACATTGATTAAACTATTATCATACTATGTAATATCACAGATTGACTGTAGTTGACTCCACCAATCATTGCTATACAGGTAACATTAACTGACACTCCCAGTGGATCAGGATATACCAGTAGTGTGTTGTTGTATGTCAGGACATCAATTGATGTATACATTGAGTTACTCTTCATTACTCCATTCACTAACCAGTAAACATCAGTTGAAGGATTTATATCAGTAGTTGTGAGACAATCAATACGATATTGAGTGTTATTGAGTTGTGTAATGGATGAGATTAGTGTCCAATTGATTGAATTATTAACTAAAATCAGCAATGTTATGAGTATAATAAAAGGTTTATAGTAGTAATACCTGGTAAGGTTTGTACACTGACTGCACTACTAGCAGGTCCCAGCAATTGTTGATAGGCTCTGACTGTGATGCTGTAAGTTGCTTCTACTCTCAGTCCATTCAGTGTGATTACATTATTACTACTTCCCTCCACCTGTACTGTCTGCACAGTGTCTGTGTCACTAGTGACATTGACTACATACCCATCAGCATCAGATGAATCAAGTGCAGTCCAACTGACAGTGATAGTAGTAGATGTCTTGCTGACCTCGGTAAGAGAAGAGGGAGCAGTTGTTGGAACTAAGCAATATAAGTGTCATTTTACATTATGGTATACTAATAATAGCTTACTAGTGATTGTAATTGACTGGTTTCTGATTACATCACTGACATATAAAACAAACTTAAACTCAAGATCACCATTACTATCTAATGGACTTAGTTCTTCATTGGTAGTGTCACCTTTCCAAGTAACATTTAGTGTAACCTCATAATCCCATTTTCCATTAGTTTTATCTGTTGCTTTTCCATCACCAAAAGAACAACTATAAGGCCTGTTGTCCTTAACACTGCAGAGTTCAATACTAGTACCACCAGATTCATAGTACCAATTAGCAGACTTAATATATGGCATTGTATAACCAATTCTAATAGCATGTAGAGTGTATGTTTGAGGAAGAACTGTTACATCTGAGGGAAGGTCAACACTAATGTTTTTAATTTGTACCCATCCTACAGCGAATAAACACAGTGACTATTAAAATAAAAGGCTCACTGAATATATTAGCAAAGATGATGTTAGTGTTAGGATCTGAACAACTAGTAGGAAGACAACACTTGTGCCAGCCATCATTAGTTGGTTGTATGTT